GGGAAATGTGTTTTCTCACAGTCCTGGAGGCCCCAAATCAAGGCATCAGCAGACTGATTTTCTGGTAAAGGCCAGTTTCCTTGCAGATAGTGTCTTTTACTTTACGTGGTAGAAAGGACAAGATACTTCTTTGAAGCACTCATCCCATGGATCCATCCTTGTGACAGTCACCTCCAAAAAGTCCACCTCCTAATACCATCATCCTGGGATCAGGCTTTTTTAGTACACGAATTGGAGAGAGGAAATGAATAGTCTGTCCATTGCAACTTCCACTCCCTTCCAAACTCCAAGCTTCCTGTGAACGAAGATCCTGAGAGTTTGTTCACTGTTTATAGCCTCCTCCTTACATAGTGCCTACAATAAAGTATTAATGTTATTTAGGTAAATTACAGAGATCTCTGATTTGTGGAGATTCCAGCACACAAGGTTGCATGTTTTTCCAGGAGATTTCTGTAGCCTGGGTTAAGAACAGAAAACAAACATTTCAGAACTGAAGTTAATGGTCAGAAAGTTATAAAAGAGATGAGGAATGGAGTTCAGATCTTCTGGCTTCACTTTTTATATAAATAATTTTGATAAAAGCTCTAAGCTTTTAATCATTTTTAAAGAAAAAAATTAATGCACTGCCACATCAATTTTCTCCTTCCCTTCTTTAGAACATAAATTATAATTAGTATTTGTTTTAGCTCTTTACAATGCTAACAAATTACCCATATTTTCCTCCAGAACAGTATAGATTTCCTTTTTACATTACCTCCCATAATGTAGTGTCTTAGTGAATCTATTCACTGATTGTGAAATTCTAGAATGAATCTACTACAGGTAATTCAATCACCAGTCTGATAAAGACCAATAAATTTGCAGAAATAAATGTACCACCTTTAACTTGTTAAAGACATTAAGCATTACCAATAGTTCCCACATCCCACTTCTTCCTGGCCTGACTCACAACAACACCCATCAAATAACCTTGCAGCCTTTGGTTATGGTCTCTAAGATTAGAAGGATTTTATAAAAAGTCCTTCCAAACACTGGTCAACCAAGGTGACTGACCCATTCATGATGGACTAGCTTCTCAAGATAATGGAGAAGTCAGATAGTGAGAGAGGAACATTTATATTTTTATTTTTAAATTCCATTCCGATGAATGTTTTATTATGGAAAACAAAAAAGATCACTTTCATATTTGGATAGCATGATGAAGATGTTTACATCTTCCAAAGGTTAATACTTGGAAGAATATTTTAAAAATCAACTTGGCTACAGATGTAGTGGGAAAGTACATCATTAAAACTTTATCTCTTCCTCCTAGGAATGTTGAGAAGCACTCAGCAAATATTACATCCAGCCTTTTTGGCTAGGTTCACCCATTACAGAAAACACCATGTCCTCCAGCAAGCGAGGCAGACGGGATCCCAAACAAGCGGCCTCTCGCGAGAGCAGTCAGTCCAAACTAGAATTCAAGCTACTTTCAGAAACACACACAGCGAGACTCATACTCTGGAAGTGCTGCCCGGTGGGAACTGTGCTCACAGTCTGGCATATTTGAGCTATATCCTAACCCCAATTCTAACTACCATAATCACTGAATGATGGAACCTGAAATAAAAAGAGCCATCCACTCACCCTATTCAACTTCTCACTTTAAAATGAAAAATCAAATGGCAGTAAGTTGAAAGCACTTGTCTGGAACGGTTACAGTATATAATAGGGCCAGAAATGGAATCCAAGTCTCGACTCCCAGAGGAAAAGTCCTCGCACCATGTTATTCCAAAAGTCAAAGTCTAGGTCCATGCCCTGAGAAGGCCAAGTTCCCACTACTTGCCCCAGCAGAGGTTGGAGTAGGTGCGAACTCACGACTTGCACCTCTAGGCTGAGAGAAACAGCAGCTCAGCGGCCATAGCTTACTTGAAACGGGAGTTTTGAGAGCCAGGCTGCCCATCAAGAGCAGGTTATTCATCTTGGATGTTCCAGGGACTCACTGGATAATCTAGCAAGCACTGCCTAAATGTCACTTTAATGAGCTTTGTCCTCTCCACTCTCCTTGGCCTCTGATCATCACCTGTAAACTTTTCTGAAGCTCTTCGACTCGATGGGCTGGGCTAGCACTATGGAGGGACCTGAGTCATGGGGACAGAGAACTGGGAGAACTGGGAGGGTTGTAAAGACATGCAGAGTCGTGTCCAGTAGGGAGCATGAGGACAGCTCAGAAACCAGAAGTGATCAAAGCCACAACACAGTAGCCCCTTAAGAGCACTTTTATTCTCTTCAGATTCAATGCTTCACAGCCCTCACGTTCTGTTAAAAGTCTGTCCCAAGCTCCACTTTGCCCTTCAAAGTACTATTCTTCCCCCTGCTTCATTCATTCTTTCATCTTATCCACAAGGTCCCTTTCAGAGCTGCCACAAGCCTTCTCTGTGGCTTCGCTCATTCTTGACATCATGATCCAGAGGCATCTGTTTCTTCTCAGCTCCATAAACTGTGTAACTACGTTTTTCCAAGTCCTTTTGGTTCTCATTCTTCTTTCTCTGTCTCCTCTCCCCTCCCCTCCTCTCCTGTCCCCTCCTCTCCTCTCCCCTCCTCTCCTGTCCCCTCCCTTCCCCTCTCCCCTCCTGC